AAAAAATCGAAATTTTTTAAAATTTTGCATGACCCCCTACCTTGGCAAATAATCGAAAATTTTTTAAAATTTTGCATGACCCCCTACCTTGGCAAAAAATCGAAAATTTTTTAAAATTTTGCATGACCCCCTACCTTGGCAAATAATCGAAAATTTTTTAAAATTTTGCACGACCCCCTACCTTGGCAAAAAATCGAAAATTTTTAAAATTTTGCACGACCCCCTACCTTGGCAAAAAATCGAAAATTTTTAAAATTTTGCACGACCCCCTACCTTGGCAAAAAATCGAAAATTTTTAAAATTTTGCACGACCCCCTACCTTGGCAAAAAATCGAAAATTTTTTAAAATTTTGCATGACCCCCTACCTTGGCAAAAAATCGAAAATTTTTAAAATTTTGCACGACCCCCTACCTTGGCAAAAAATCGAAAATTTTTACAATTTTGCATGACCCCCTACCTTGGCAAAAAGTCGAAAATTTTTAAAATTTTACACGACCCCCTACCTTGGCAAAAAATCGAAAATTTTTAAAATTTTGCACGACCCCCTACCTTGGCAAAAAATCGAAAATTTTTAAAATTTTGCACGACCCCCTACCTTGGCAAAAAATCGAAAATTTTTAAAATTTTGCACGACCCCCTACCTTGGCAAAAAATCGAAAATTTTTTAAAATTTTGCATGACCCCCTACCTTGGCAAAAAATCGAAAATTTTCAAAATTTTGCACGACCCCCTACCTTGGCAAAAAATCGAAAATTCTTAAAATTTTGCACGACCCCCTACCTTGGCAAAAAATCGAAAATTTTTTAAAATTTTGCACGATCCCCTACCTTGGCAAAAAATCGAAAATTTTTAAAATATTGCACGACCCCCTACCTTGGCAAAAAATCGAAAATTTTTACAATTTTGCACGACCCCCTACCTTGGCAAAAAATCGAAATTTTTTAAAATTTTGCATGACCCCCTACCTTGGAAAAAAATCGAAATTTTTTAAAATTTTGCATGACCCCCTACCTTGGCAAATAATCGAAAATTTTTTAAAATTTTGCATGACCCCCTACCTTGGCAAAAAATCGAAAATTTTTTAAAATTTTGCATGACCCCCTACCTTGGCAAATAATCGAAAATTTTTTAAAATTTTGCACGACCCCCTACCTTGGCAAAAAATCGAAAATTTTTAAAATTTTGCACGACCCCCTACCTTGGCAAAAAATCGAAAATTTTTAAAATTTTGCACGACCCCCTACCTTGGCAAAAAATCGAAAATTTTTAAAATTTTGCACGACCCCCTACCTTGGCAAAAAATCGAAAATTTTTTAAAATTTTGCATGACCCCCTACCTTGGCAAAAAATCGAAAATTTTTAAAATTTTGCACGACCCCCTACCTTGGCAAAAAATCGAAAATTTTTACAATTTTGCATGACCCCCTACCTTGGCAAAAAGTCGAAAATTTTTAAAATTTTACACGACCCCCTACCTTGGCAAAAAATCGAAAATTTTTAAAATTTTGCACGACCCCCTACCTTGGCAAAAAATCGAAAATTTTTAAAATTTTGCACGACCCCCTACCTTGGCAAAAAATCGAAAATTTTTAAAATTTTGCACGACCCCCTACCTTGGCAAAAAATCGAAAATTTTTTAAAATTTTGCATGACCCCCTACCTTGGCAAAAAATCGAAAATTTTCAAAATTTTGCACGACCCCCTACCTTGGCAAAAAATCGAAAATTCTTAAAATTTTGCACGACCCCCTACCTTGGCAAAAAATCGAAAATTTTTTAAAATTTTGCACGATCCCCTACCTTGGCAAAAAATCGAAAATTTTTAAAATATTGCACGACCCCCTACCTTGGCAAAAAATCGAAAATTTTTACAATTTTGCACGACCCCCTACCTTGGCAAAAAATCGAAAATTTTTTAAAATTTTGCATGACCCCCTACCTTGGCAAAAAATCGAAAATTTTTAAAATTTTGCACGACCCCCTACCTTGGCAAAAAATCGAAAATTTTTTAAAATTTTGCACGACCCCCTACCTTGGCAAAAAATCGAAAATTTTTTAAAATTTTGCATGACCCCCTACCTGGGCAAAAAATCGATAATTTTTTAAAATTTTGCACGACTTCATACCTTGGCAAAAAATGGAAAATTTTTAGTAAAAAAACAAAAAAATTAGTAAAAAACAAAACATTTTTGACAAGGCAGGGCAATATGAACTAGTATTAAATGGCATACATTTTTATGTCAAAACTATTGTGACAGTACCGAAGAAAACTTTTATTTTACTATTATTCGCTTATATTTGTGAAGGTTATGACAATATTCGTTAAATATTGTCATATTTCATACTCTTATGATCTGGTCCGTACACAATAAATATTATTCGGAGTTTGAGGAAAAAAAATAGTGCGAGATTTTAGATTTTAGTGCGAAGTTCGATGCGTTCAAAAACAGTGTTGAAATCAACTTTATTTTACAATGTTCGAGTATATTTCTTTAATCCATCGAAATATTTTATTTTATAGACAAACACAAAACGAAAAATTAAATCGTTGAATATTTTTGCTTAAGTAAATATGTTATTCTTTGTATATAGGATAAGGTAAATCAGTTTATATACATACAATTTTATATATGAGGATTTTAACTACTTTATCTAGGTTTATTAATAATGTTTTTGCCTTTTAGTTTTTCTTTCTTTTAGTCTTTCGTGTTTCTTTAAACATAATAAAGAAAATTTTCATGAAAAATTTTTTTGCAAATATGTTAAGCATTTTAATTATGTCAAATGAATTTTTGCCTTTTAGCATTTTTATCGTTCTTTATATTATGTATATATTAGTAACTATGTAAGTTTTATATTACACCATATATACTTACTATATATGCACATTCATATTATACAATTAATAGGTAGTCATTTAAATATAAAAGCTATTATCCTAGTTAAAGGAATAGTTAACGTCATTATACTTGTACATTTATGTTGAATAACAATCGATATTTTCTATAGATATTTGTATATAGTTGAAGGAAATACATAACTTTTATTATAATATGGAAATATTGTCATGTTTATGAATGAATTATGTATATATATATATATATATATATAGAATAGTAAACTAGTGAAATGAAAGTTGTCGTATCCTCGTGGCTTAACAATAAATTATTTTCTATATAGAAGCGAAAAAAATAAGGTTTTTTATATGGTATATATGCACATTGTTTTTGGTGAGGCAATCATTATCAGTTATTACAAAAAAATGTGTTAATAAAATAAGATTTAAAGAAATATTGTGAATATAAATTAGTTTGCTGAATTTTATAAGGTGTCTCAAAAGAATTTCAAATAGAAATGTTTCGTAAAATTTTCAAAGATTTTTCATTCAATTCAAAATTATTTTAAAAAGCATATATGGACAGACTTCAATTAATAAAAACAATTCAATAATTGAAAAATCAACAATTATTAGAAGACACGGAGAACTAAATCACTATCAATAAAGGGTGGAATATTACTAACGTTAATATTAACAATTATAGATGAGAGCGTGGGGGGGTACAATAGTTCAAGAATGGGCGCGGTGGCTTGGGGGGTTACTCCTGTCCCACTCGATTCCCTGAAAAATCTACAATCTAACAATTAGAATGTCAATATGACAATGAAAAGTTTTTAGGTTCTTTTTTAGAGCACCAAAATCTGAGTCAGTTGATAAGGAAACAACCTTATTGCAAGAGGCTATTACTGTCACAAAATGATAATATATGGGGAACAAATTCATGCAACCTTCTGATATATAAAAAATAAATCCCAATAACTGTAACATACTAGATTTTCGGAGTTAACACATAAATAGCTAAATCTGTATAACACATAATCTGTAACACATAAGCTAAATCTGTAACACATAAATAGCTAAATTAGCTAAATCTGTACATTATTAAAATTTCGAAAGTTTATTGTTTTAAAAAACTTCATTGTTTCATATTTTCAAGACAAAACGCTCTAAATATTTTAATTTTCGAAATATCAAGAGAATAAAAATTTGTTGAATAAAGTAGGTATGCAAAATGAGCAAACTTCCAACTATTTTATAAATAAGCTCCTATTTTTCTATGTATATCTATTTCGCTTTACAAAATTATGAACTACAAACGGATAATGAAGAATCTGAAGAATTACAAGCAATTATGAATTGTGCTACAATATTGTTTAAGAACTATTTTTTAAAACGTTTTTAAAACTGCAAAACAGTAACTGTACTTGAAATTGTATATTACGTAATACTTTGTCTCACTCTGAAATTCTGTAGAGAACGTGCAATTTTAGCAATATATTATAAATCTTATATTTTTATTTTAAAATAAAATAAAATGAAGTTTAGCGTATCAACACTGTAATATCCATACGAATAATGATTTCTAAGAGTTTGATTCTTTAAGATAACAATTCACATGGAGTTCTTTTCAATATTTTAATAGAATGTTGACCTCGTTACTAAATTTTCCCAATGAAATTAAATTTCATTTTTGTAAGCATTAAAAATTTTTTAAAATTGCTTCGAAACTCTCTTAAGTACCTTAATATATGCAGTCGGCAATAAAATTTTGTTGGAATAGTTGCCCTGTCATAACTTTTAATTGCCCAGTTATTCTTTCAATTTGAAAAAACTCTTAATTTATGAACCATAATTTATCAAATGCCTAAAAGTATGTCTGGTATATGTAATTTAAGTTTCGATAACCTACGCGTTATCCAGATGTTGGGTGTGTAAATTGATTAATCTCGATTTATTATTATCCTTCATCTCTTTAATATTTGATTATTATTTAAAATAAAATAAATTTGTCATATTAGGAAACATTTTATTAAAATTATTTTTATAAATTACAATATTTCATGAAATAAAATATAATTTTAATTTAAATGTTATTAATTTAATTTTATTACATTTTTAATATTATTAATTTGCACATATACAATTGAAATTTAACTTGCTATAGCTTTTAGGGATCAAATGAAAAATTTTTTTATTCTAATCCTGAAATTTTTTTCCCAATATAAATAGTAATAAGTTTCTCTGTTCCAAAGGCGCTTACAAATAATATTAAGTGTGTTTAGAGTTTTTTTTGTGATAAATTTCAAATAAATTTTCATTTATAATAAAATTAAATTTTGTTTTCCTTTTCTTAAACTGAGTGTTTTCAATGATTTTATTCATTTGTTATAAATTTGAATAGAAAGTCAGGGATTCAGAGAGAGAAGAAAATGAAACTTTTACTACTGTTATATTAATATTGAAAAATTCAAGTTATATTTTATTGAAAAGAAAATTTTTTTTTATGAAAAATTACTAAGCAATCCGGTGCTCATCCACATTGGAGCACAAAAATATATTTTCTCTTTGTAGTAAGAATAACATGTCCTCATCCCCAGCCCCTATTCTTTCTCTTCACCACCCCCTTTTTTTTTTCTTTAACTATACAAAATAATATTTATTGAAATATTTTTTTAAATTTATTGGAAATAATCTGTAATAATTTCCTCCATTTTTTCTTCTTTTTATATTCATTTTGTAGATTTTCAACATTCAAAAATATCCAATAAATTTTCCTATGTTAGATTTTATCATTATCATTATTCATTTTATCATCATTTGAATTCAATTCTTCAATTTTTACACCACTAGTACCGTCACCACCATCACCACCAACATTACTGGTACTTGGGCCAGGATTTTCATTTGGAATATTAGAAGAAGGTTTTTGATCACCAGCAGTAGTAGCAGCACCTGAAACATTTTCAATATTTTTAAATTTTTATCCCTTTTTTTTATCAATATTGTGAATTTTTCTTCTTATTACCTTTTTTTGTTGGACTTTTGTTATTATTTTCTTTTTCATTATTATTATTTTTATTATTATTATCATTTGTTTTGTTGCCACTTTTAAAATATGGTCCAGATTTTTCAATATGTATAATTTTTTCTTCATTATCTGGTTCTTTAACTGGTGGTGGAACTTTTACTATTAATATACCATCAGATGATAAATTTGAACTTATTAAATTTGAATCATAATATCTTGGTAATTTATATTTTCTAGAGAAATGTCTTGTTATACAAACTGGTAAATCTTTTTCATTTGATTGTTTACCTTCAACAATAATCCAATCACCAATTGTTTTTACTTTTAATTCATCATATTTAAAATGACGTACATCGATTTGTAATTCAAAACCATCCTCTTTTGTAATTGATACTTGACCAGTTAAACATGAATTATGAAACCATGCATTACACCAATTATGATGTGGATAATGATGATGATGATGAACATGATGTAATGCATCATCGTCACACGAATACGGATAATGATCGACGTGACAAAGGCTCATTTTTTTTTTGTAGATTTTTAACTTTTAATTGATTTTTTGATTTGATTTGAGTTTAAATTGTTGAGAAGACAAAAAAAAAATTTTTTTTTAAACCAATTGGTTGCAATTATGCAATTTTTTTTTCTTCTTTTTTTTTAATTTAAAGTTACGCGACCACCAAAATGCAATTATTTTAATGGAAAATTTTAAATTTTATTCAATTTTTTAGAGAGAAAAATAAAAAATCTTTTATACCCAATTTTTACAACAGACTAAACACTTCAAAATTCAACACACGAATATTTCTAAAGATATTAGAAGGGGAAAAATTTTTTTTACTGTAAAAGCATTTGAAAATAATTTAATGCTTTATCCTGAAAGTATGCAATAATAAAAGCTCGTAACTGATACGATATGGTACAAGTTTTGTTTTTTTATTTTTCTTTTTAATATTTTTTGTTCTTATTTTATTTTTGTGTTTGTTTTTTACCATAGAATCCGGAAATAATGATTTTTAGCATAACGTATTTGTACGTGATGGTTCCAAAATAAAAATAAAAATAAAAAATTATGAAAAAAAATATTCTGTTATCCTTGTTTTGTTTTTTGCTCGCGTTTTCATTTTTTCTGCTGAATTTTTTTTTTTGCCTTTATTAAATAAAATGTTGTAAGTCCTACCTCAAAATAACAAAAAAAAGAAAAATGCAGAAAATTGTGTTTTTTTTCCAAGTAAACCTTTTTATATAACAAACTTAGTAAATAGGTTTATGGAGTTAAAATTTAAACGGGTGAATGTTAAATACGATATGAAAAGCGGAAAAATAGATCAAAACAATTTTTATTGATTTTATATTCTAAAGATTTTTTATGAATTTTTTTTATTATAAAATAATAAATTAAATTTTGTACATAGAGAAAAAGTATAGGAAAAGGTTGCCGTAATCTTTCGAGTTTATGTAACAAGTTAATGTCAATGAAATATGGAATAAAATTTTGTTCCCCTTGGGCTGCCATTTAGCTTATAAAGAATGTGTGTATTATAAATTTGGATTATTTTTGTATGAATACTAAATGTCCATGATATTTTTCAGCACACTTGCTAATATTAATCCAAAAAATCCATAAGTACAACAAAAGAAGTAAGGTCCAAGAAATCTGTACCTGAAATTCGCAAGCGGTGGGCATTATCATAGAAGGTGAGTTGCTGTTTCTTGGGACGTATAGTAACTTTAATAAAAAAAATGTAGAATTGAGATCTTTGGCGTTGAAATGACAGAAATTTTAGAAGATAACATACAAATACCCTGATATTACTATCTTATTAATATGTCACTAATTGGTGAATAAAATTAATTTTTTGCAACTTTAAATTAAATTCAAAAACTTATAGTGATAATTTAATGACATTAATTTGCGATAAATTGTGAACAATAAAAAATTACATAAGAACATTTTAAGTAGAAAAACATAGAAAAATTAATTTGATTTAATGAATTGACGAACAGTACATCTGTTTGCACATAATTAAAAATTAATTTTTTGATTGACATTTCAAGTCATTTTCAATTTGCTGCCACTTGTCACTTACAATTTATAGAAATTTACACGGAACTTATAAATTGCCTCATTAAATAATTTAATTTAATTTAATCGAATTGTAGCAATGCACTTAAGATATTTTTCAATTCAATGATTAATTTTTAAAATAAGACTCTAAACTAGAAAGCTTATAATCGATTACCAAAATGTTTGGCAACCTTAACGTACAAAACATGTTATGTAATATCTACACATAATTAGATTTTTAAATTTTCTTTTTTTAAATTCAATAACTTTTATTATAAAATGTACACTTCATTAATATGAAAATCGATTTAATATTTTCATAGCCATTATTATTAAGTTTCTTAATATTGAATTGTTCTAGCGTAGTGTTCTATTAAAGAAATTGTAAAATTCCTTTATACAGTTTACATAAAAAATCTTGTATAAGTTATTTTATTCTCATTGATGGGTATATAAAAATTCTGAAACCATATTAAATTTCATTAATGTAGCAACTTGAAGTTGCTTGAACTCTTGTTGGTATTTCAAAATATTTCATTTCGGAAAATACACTGTGGTCTGGGCAATATCTTAAAGCCTTGGTAAATCCTTTAGAATTTTTTTAGGAAAAATTCGTTTGGGTGGGAGACCATAACTGGGCCGCCTGGGGGTAGTTTTAAAAAAAAATTCAGTGGTTAAAAACATTTAATTGAAAAATTTTGTCAGTCAAATATTCCCGTTATAGCAAAATTCAAAACTGTTGAAGCTAGAACAACGTTGTTTTCGGAAAATTTTTGTCAATTGATGATTGATGTCAGTTTTACGATATTCTTTATAATATATTATTGTCTCATTAGCTCAACTATTTATAATCCTAATATGTGATACTCTGCGCCCTTATAAGTGACTCGAGTAAATAAGAATGGTTAATTCCGAAGGAATGCTGTAATATTAAATTGCCCAATCTAACTATCATAGCTTAATTTTTTTTAGTTAATTTGTTTAAAGAGTAGATTAATGGGCAGAAACAAGATGTCGCAACTGATTGTATTAATAGTGACATATTGACATTGCAAAAATTTCAAAATAATTATTTAATTGTTTACTTTATTTCTATAAATTAATTTCCAAATTCAAGAAGCTTGAAACCCATTGAACAATTTGAGCGCAAACATTCAGCTTGCACTTACAGTACGATTAACTTTTTGAAAATTTAAAGACAACAAATTTTTTCTTTAATCAGCAAAATTATTTCTTATTTTTCTAATACAAACCGAGCAAACAAAGAAAAACTTCAACCTAAATATTAAAATTTATAATTTAAGTTCAATAGTTGCCATATTTAAAATGAATTGCTCTGTTCTTTTGTATTTATAAACTTGTATATACAAAATTAACTTGAAAATTATATTAAATTTAAATATTTAAAAGAATAATGCATAAAAATCAAAATTATTTTTAAAAGGAAAATTTTATGAGAAAATGAAAAGCTGATGGTATAAAAATAATATTTTTCTATATACAGGGTGTTTTACATAAGAAATCAAATGATTTCAGACATGATTCATGATAATTTCAGGGTGAGGACGGAAATAAAGGTGGGAAGGGAGTTCAAATATACCCGTTTTCAAGCTACAGCCTACTTTTCGAGCTACTGTGAAAAAAAATTCGCCAAATATTTCGTGCATATAAATACATGTTTATAACTTCGGAATCATACGGCGAACAGTAATTTTCGGTGGCTTATTTTACAAGAAATTGATTGCTCTTTATTTTCTTACAATCAACGAGATTTAAGCCATAATTTTGGAAATAAAGCCGGTCAGAGTTAAAATTTTTGTTTTGCTGGAAATTGGACAAAGAATTATTTCCCACCTTATACGACACACCCTGTAAATGTATTTCTTTGAGGTAAACTCACAATCTACATTTGCATGTTAAATAAAGAGTTTAAAAAGTTCATTTAATTTTTCCTTGCAACTTTTTAAATATTTTAGTTTCAAGAACATTCAGATACCAAAATATATATGTATGTATGTGTATAAAAATATTTTTGTAATAAAATAAAAAATTTTCCCAATGGTTATTGTTGATACTTTCAATGTTTTTTACTCTACTTTTTGTTTCTCTACCTATTTTTGGTATCTTTTTTTTTTACATACAAATTTAATATTAAAAAAATAATACGAGGTAACTATGCATAAAACCAAGTGTAAAGTTATATAATAGTAAAAGTGTTAACTGCGATGTCAAGTTGATAATATGATTTATGTAGTTTAAAATTTCTCTATACATGTATATAAGGTTAAAGGGAAATTGAGTGAAACCAAAGAAAAATCTTAATTTATATTGCATTTCTTTCTTGTTTCATGAGAAAAAAAAAATTGTTATATACAACAAAGAAAAGCTTGTCTGCAGATCATCTAACTATTATGAATCTAATACGGATTTATGATAGCAAAATTATATTATATATAAATTATATTACAGCACACCCTCTGTATAGTGGTGAATTGACGTATATCAGCGTATAAATCTTTGTTAAAAAGTAAAACCAAATTATTGAACAATATCCTATCGTAACCGGTTTACGAACTGGAGACTTTTAAAGGCAAATTTTGTCTCGGCAATCTTTATTGAGAGTAGACTATAACATTGGCTGTCTCAGTTATAACGGTATTTTTTGATATAATGATACAGACATGACAATTTGCTAGAATTGCGATTCAGTAGGATATTGCACAAGCATATACAACGAACTTTACAGCACTAGTTTGAATATGTTAGTCGTTTAAAAATTAAAGAAAATTTTCTCGTTTTTTTTCTCAATTTTTTATAACGGTTTTTGGTGGCATAAGGTGGCAGCTTTTGGAACAATTTTTTTCCTTATTAATGAAGATCTGCACGTTGTGTACATATGTTAGTGCGCTACTGTATGAAACACCTTGAATAAGAATATAAGGCAAAAATAATAAGGTTTTGATATTTTGCATATGTTCTATGCATTTTTGAACATTAAAAATTTAAAAATCTTTAAAAATTATATGAAATAAAAGTTAATTAAATCTAAAATTAAGGAATAATCCCAGAACTAGAATTCAAATCAGAAATTTTTGTAAAATTCTTTACTTAGAACTCTTACTGACAAAAAATTTGAGAATAAAGATTCGATGAATATTCTGTGAGTTTGATGAATGATAAAATGAATTTTGAAATGATACAAAGTTACAATTTTTGTCCGAAACACCATCGAGATCGCGATATAACAGAATTTTTTTTATTTCAAATATACTCACCTGCAAATTCCTTTAATAATGCTCAACAAGCGAAATTTTCAAAATTAATAATATAAGCTTACCTTAATATTCATATTACACGTTAGTAACTTATTCCTTGCATATCGTTTGCTTGAATATTAAAACTACTTACCATTCCCTTAGATTATAAATATTTTCCATAATTTATTGAGCTCGAAATTCATGTAAATTTGATTTATGAAGGCTATTATCAACAATAGACTTTTTTCATATCAAATGGAGTTTATAACGTTAAAGATTTTCCAATCCTCAAATTTTCTATATTTAAACTTTCTATCTAGAATTAAAATTTCTGTTTAAACGCCAATATCTATAAAAATAAAATATTTGTGAACGACAAATAAGCGCACCTACGGTTTCTACTTTCAATGCATCCACCAATATTTGTTCCATGAATATTTCGAATTAAGTCACATCAATTTCAGAAAAAAGTAACATTAATTCCCTTCACATGGAAACTTTTTAGTCCACATTTATTTCCTGATTTGATGACGGCGATTGTCTTAATTTTCTAGTAAAAGTCAATTAAATTTTTAGCATATTTCCGTACATTCTGTCATGAAATATTTTTAACGTATAAAAGTGATGTTTTGTTTTTGTTGTCACTATTATTTTATTTGAAATCCGGGTATTAGAATCATTGTTTCATAACATCTCTTGCACGATTTGAATATTATCTAGTTGTCCATTATGAAAGCAGAAAGCCACGTATGTAACGGTAGTAAAAATAATTTTGAACAATTTCTTTGGTTTATTTTGATTTTGTAATAAAATTCATATCGAGTAAAAGTCAATGAAAGTGAGATATTCTATAGACCAAGGTCTTGAAATTTCTTAATTATCTAAACATTTTTTCGAAAGAAAATGGTCAAAATAGAATTTAAGAGCTACAGGAAGAAAACCAGTATGCAAAAATGAATTCTAGAGAATACGAATTGTTTCATAAAACATAAGCTAGCCGGCTTTCAACTCTATGATTCAAGATCCGAAAATCAGCTTTGATAAATTTTGTATGTTGCGCACAATTTGTAGTTCAGAGAGAACTTATTTTAAAATTAAGTATAAAATTTGAAAAAAATTATTTTTATATTCCTTATACTTACTACGTATTTTGATTTGTATAACAGTTTTTGTATTCTACAACATTTTTATTTTTTTCTTCAATCTTTATTGTTATTTTCAAATTTATCAACTCAATGGGTAAGCTATAAATCACCAAATCAAGTCGATCTCTCTATGTTTTTTATTTTTCATTTTAGATTTGTTTTTCAATTGACCATTGTTTTGAGTTCCCCATATCGAATTTGATTTTGAATCGAAATTGTTTAATAGAATTTCTAATCAAATAGCGATAGATATACTACCATTTAAATAAAAATAGAATTTCAATGTCAAATTCTATTTTTCAAAATATTATTTAAGAGTTGTATTTGAAATCAAATAAACCTACATTAACTAATATTATAGAATTTATGATTTTCGTAGTTAGTATTGAAAATTATTTTCAGAATATTTTTATTATAATACTTACAAATAGGTAGATAATATGTTTGTATATTAAAAATTATAATTTTAACCTTTACCAAAAATTCTATAATTAAAATTTATGACAATAAACAATGTTATTACATATAGTAAATATTTTGGTATAGGTCGAAAATATTTTTATATTTTCAATACTAAAAAATATTTTGTTTTTTAATAGAATAATATTCTGAAAATAAATTAAATACATATATGATATTATAAGCTCATAAATTCTAAAAACTAAAATTAATTATTTGCTTTCAGAAATTCTCTAAATGAAAATTTTTTTTTGTAAAATTTCCGAATGCCAACGACCGATCGTTTAACTTTCACTACTTGTTTAAAATTTTTCTATGGTTTTAGTTGGTTTTCAATTTGTTATCGCTCAAATCTCTTACGCTCAAATCCTACTTACGAATGAACGGGAGGTTTAGAAAGGAAAATTAATTATTAAGAGGCTCCAAGTTTTCGATTATGAGAAAATTATGCAAATTTCTGTTTACTTTTTATAAATTATATAAATTCAAGTCTCCACATTCGATAATATTTTGTAGATTGCATTGCAATACAAAACGATGCCTAATTAATTATAGAAAAAACAAACTTTTTTAAAAGAGAATTTAAGATTTTGGATTATCAGCTCAATTTTTGAACTGTTTATATGAAAAATTATGGTAACAATTTCTCTTCAAATCTCTCTTTAAATTCAACTCGATAAGAGTAAACAAAAGATTAGTGGTACAGTAATTTCATACCCTCAGCAAATTTACATTTGCATTGAACGTTTATAGATATGCAGGGAATTTATGAAAAAAAATGTATGCATAGAATAAAATTATTGCGAATTGTGATCGTTCGGCTTTATTACTGTATGTATTTTGTGCATTTAATTTTTTAATTACCTTTTATACTCGTATTAAAAATGCGTCATATTAGCTCAAATCGGAAGTGATTTTTATAGACAAACTTGTTTCTATAGAGTCTGCGATAATCTAAATACATTATAAAAATATATGGTTTGTAAAATTATGCGCAAATATTCTAAATATTAGAGGTATTTAATATTTCTTATAAAATTCTTTGGTTTAGTGTAAGTAAATATATATATCAGACATTATTGTATAACTATATATTGGAGGTAATGAAGGTACCATAGATTAATTAATGAATTACTAATAACGATTTGATTTCGAAATGAAAAATATGCGTTATTTTTTACTAGATATTTCAAAACTAGACTTTTAATCTAGTTCACTGAAAACTTTAAAAATTTTATAGTTAATATGCCAGGATTCGTTTGTTATGTCATTTATCCGAGATTCTCTCTAATTATCTTACATTATATTGTGAAGATTTTAATAAAATGACGAAAATTTCGAAATATTAATTTTCGAACTAATATAGAAAATCCAGATACTCGTATCCATGCCTACATGATTATAAATCTTAATCTACGAGTAGATATTTGTAAATGTGAAATCCCTCCCAGTTGAAAATCGAATATCATTTAATTGAGATGAACTTTTATTATAAAATATAAAAGCTTTTCTTAAATTCCTGATCATTTTCAGAAAAATTTGTTAATTTTTTATAGAAAAAAATCAAAAATTTATTAATCTTGTTTTAGTTTACTGCTACTTAGAACCCTTTGAATTGTATTTGCATACGTGCATGCTTTGGTGTCTATATTATATTTCGCATATTTATCAAATATAATTCTTGAATATTAACCATATTTCAACTTTTCCATTCTTTATTATTCTTTGTAAGTCATTCTCAATTTCTCAAGGCCGAAAATTTTTCCGAAATTTATACTTTACTTATGTATACCTATAGTACCAAATATTTGATCGATATGGTAGGCACACGTAAAACGAATGCACGTAATGATGTTCTTTGTAATACAATATTTTACAATATCTTATATAGGTATATATATAATTGTAATTCACTCAAAGTCCTTCAAATATTTTTACAAAAATTTAATTAGAACAAAAAACAAAAAAAAATAACAAAAAACTCACTTTTTTTTCCAATTATTTATTAAAAATAATTTTATTTTATTATTTCAAACTTAATATGTATAAAAAAAAAAATTAAAAAGCAGAACAGAAATATAGTTAAAATTTGTGATTAGAAATTAAGGTGGGAGTGGGGGCAATGAACACAACAACAACAACAACAACCAAAAAAAAAAAATCTTAAATTTCAAATGAAATTTTTTTTTTTTGCTTTCAAAATTCAAAGTCCTTTGTTTTCAATTATTCTAAAGTTTTAATTTAAAACATGTTATCCATTTTTTGTTTTTGTTTTCTATTTAAAAATCACTTTTTAGTTTTTTTTTTTTTTAATAATTTTTGTGCAAAAAAAAATCTACAAAATTCATAATTTTTAAAAAATATCCTTTTGATTGTAATTCTTTCTTCTGCTTGTTCGTCCTTTTCTATACTTGTTCCTCATGTCTTCTTTGTCTTGTTGCCTAAAAATTTGATGAGACTAGTTTTTTCGTCGGATTAATCTTGATTCCATTTTTGTTATTCTTCTTGTATATAAGAAATATTGTGAATTGCATAAGAAAAACCATTCAATTTCGAGAAAAAAAAATTTTTAAAGGACCAATAACTTTTAAAATTGGTCGAAAATAGAAAATCCATATTTAAAAAAATTTCGAATACTTGTTCGAATTTTATGTGATTTTTCGTAAATTAAATACAAAAAAAAATTCTTTGTTTCCAATTAGTGTTGCAAAAATTTGAGATAAATTTCTTTTTTTTTGTAAATTTTTTAATTTAATAAATATTATTTTTTTAGTATATTTTTATTTTTATTGTATAGGAATAAAATTTTTCACTAAAATTCAATTTTAATTAAAAATTTTATTTTTTTTTTTTTTTGGTTTCTCTATATAATTTTTTTTTTTTTTTTCATAGTGTTCTCCTTTTCATATTTAAATATGTTTAATTGGTATAAAACGTCTATGACATTTAATTATTGAACGTGTTGGTGGTGGTGCTCTTATTGTTAATATACCATTATGACATGTTGCTGTTACTTGCCATGGATCATAACCAATTGGTAATGAATAACGATTTTCAAATGATTTTGTTGTTGTTTTACTATCCCATTTCTCTTCTTGTTTACCTTCAACAACAATACAATCTTCAACAATACGTACTTCAATTTCACTTGGTTTAAAACGTATAACATCTAATTGTATTTCAAAACCATCTCTACTAACAATTTCTTGACCAACTTGTAAATGTGTCATTGATTTTGAACGTACAACTTTTGGTGGCGGTGCTGATAATATACGTGATGGTACAAGTGGTGCAAAAAATGATGGTATCAATGAATCAAAATAATCTAATGCTCTCCAATGTCTTAAACGATCCCAAAAATCCAATCTATCAATTATTTCGAATGGTTCCAATGGATCAAGTGGACGTGGTATTAATGCCATTTTTGTAAACCGATAACCGAAAAAAAAAAAAATTTAATTTTATATTTTGTCGAGGAGGATCTTTTGTTTTTTATAGTTTGAGCTTTTTTTTCTAACTAAACTTAATTTCAAGTAATGTGATTGCTTTTATACGTGAAATTTTTAGGGTTTTTTATAAATTTAATTTTGATTTTTTTATTTATGTACTAGTATATTATATAGTGTGTACATGTGTGTGTATGAATTAGAATAATTTATAAAGCCTTAAATCGCGCATTGATGACAGTGATTTTCGCTACAATTTTTTTTTGTTATTTTGTTTCTTCTTATTATTTTTAAATTTTTTCGTTAACAATATACGCGGATCATATGTTTATTTTTGTTTTTGTATTTTTTTATTCTTACTATTATTAACTTTTCAATACGACATTTGTGTTTGTCTAAAAGTTTTTCTTTACAAATCTACTCACACATACAAATGTGTGGATAAACTATACTTAATATATCACATGCAAACAAACTATAAAGAAAAATAAGAACTACGAGAATATTTTATTGCTCTGAAATCAAGAAAAATTGGAATACCACCACCATCACTTTAAAATTAAATTGGTTACGATTAGGGTGTGCAAAAACAAAAAACAAAAATTTTTCCATCAATCTCAGTGAAGAAAAAAAAAGCTTTGATTTTTTCACATTCTGTTCGTTTTTTCTTATGTTTTTTGTTTTTCATAGTTTTTCAGGAAAAACTTGAACTTGTGACGATATGAAAAGGGTAGTTAAGTACGAAGAGGGGAACAAAAACCTTTTCGATTATAATTGAAAATTTTAATTTTTGATTTTTCTTTTGTTTATTGGCGGCTTAGATTTCATAAAAATTGAATGTAGAATTAGACAAGGTCTGTCTAAGTTTAGATTTGTATATATGGGCGATTTATTCAGCTTAAGTTAATAAATTTTTGAACTCTGAATTTGAATAATAAAATTAATTTTATGTTAATTCATTCAATGAAAATATCAAAAATTTTTTTGATAGTGTTGACACAGTTTTTCGATTTTTTTCGGAATAAAAACGCAAATTTACGAATTTACAATTAATTAATTGGGATTTTTTTTTAAATATCAAATCAATGTTAATTTTAAAAGGTTTCGGGAGTTCCATTATTTATGAAAACTTTTTATTTTCTTTTTCGGAATTCCTGTATAAAATTTCTACTTCGGGTGGAAATCTTACTGCGAATTCAATTTATTTATATAAAGCTTTCTGAGTTTAGTAAGCAACCAGCCTTGTTACTCTGATTCTGTTCCTCTTAAAAACGAAAAATTGAAAGAACTATATGATTGGCAGTCGGCAAAAAATTATAAATTTTTACAATATAATGGGGCAGAGAACCAACACTTCCTAATTCTGCTTCCTCTGTATACAAACTTGCAAGCAATTGACATATTTTTGAACCACGGAATCAAAGTCAATTATCGATAATTAAATTTTAAAAATCGCAAAAAATTATAGGACTTACTCAACAGGTTTACGTGGGGTTGCGTTCTACACCAAATGAATTCAATATTGAAAAAATATATATTTAAGAAAATCGGAAACTTTCCGAAATTCTACCAATCTAGAGATTGGTATTTTTCATAGATGCTTCTGATTCACTATTATTCAATCTGGTAACACTTTTCAAATTTTATTAAGAACAACAACCAAAAATAAATTTTTTCAATACAAGGCATTTTTCATTTTCAATCTGCAATCTTTTATTAAAATTTTAATAAATGAACCTGTTTGAATTTAAACTAACAATTTATTATTGCCATTAAAAAATATTAAACAATTTCCACCTCAATTGTATCGATTACAACTGTTACAATGAAAAACCAATTTAATTGTAAGAAAATCTCATTTTATTTTCTTCATTTTTTTTTTCCTATATAATTTATTTATTTAATTCCTAATTATTTTGTTAATTTTTTTCTTTCATTGTTATTTTATAACAAATAATTTTCATTTAAAGAATAGAAAAAGAAAAATAATCATAGAAAAAATTATGTAAAAAAAAAAATTTTTTTAATGGATTTTCAACATAATTACATTCGTACAAGGTGCTTCAGTAAAACGTGTGGAAAATTAAAATGCATAATTTCCAAGCCCATCTTTAATATGGGATGATCTTTTATCTATAAAGACAACGTTTAGATTTCTGTCTTAACTTATTTAAGGAATAGATGTCGCAACAAAACTAAGGAAGTCACCATAATGAAAATGGCCTATTTTTATACAATAGGATTTTTGAGAAATTCCATTTGAAGTTTCACATGAATAAAAAAAGAAAAGAAAAAAAATTAGAAATGTTGTATACTGAATTACTTACTGAACAAGGTTTGGAATTCGTTTTACTTTTTCTTCTCCGAATGTTATGCGTCACTTATTGCATAAGATTTAACCTTTCTTTTCTAAAAGTCAAATTTCTTCTTTAAACCCCAATTTTATTTTGATTTACACTAATTGATCAAATTTTTTCGAAAATGAAATCTCTAATTAATTTTTGTCTTATTGCTTTCATAGTAATCTATAAAAGCTAGAATCCGAAATAAAAAAAAAAAATAACTAATATAGAAATTCATCTTGTCGTCAATTTTTCATCTGATTTCGAAAATTTTATTTCCTCACGGACATTTATGCAGTTCCATTTCCTTATAATTAAGTGGCAAGTACTTATACATTAATCACATTACGCACATTCCAGTCTTTAAGTTGTCAGCAATTCAAAATTTCCAGGAATCTAAAAATCTATTAACAATCAGATTAAATTTAAATTTTTAACTCACCCTGTTGTATGTACGTTGGCTGACATGTAAGTATTCAAATCAAAGTTAATTTCATTTACAAAACAATTAAAATAAATTATTTAGGGAACAATTTAAAAATTCTATTGTGAATTTTTAACTATATTGTATATGTGTGTGTGGTGGTATGTGTTTACATTTTATTAGAAAATTAATGTTTATTTTGTTGTATAAAATTTTTCAAATTGAAAAAACTTTGAAACTGGGCCCTCAAAAATTAAATCCTTGATAAAATTTAATAGAAAAATATTTTTAATTATATATATGTATGTGTGTGTATGTACTGTTCTTCTCTCTTTTCTCTCTCTCTCTCCCTTTCTATTGATTTTATTGGATTTATAGAATCATAGATGTAATTTTTATTTTTACAGCAAACAATATTAAAAACATGTAAAAAATGGTTTAAAATATATTGGCGGCCGTTTTACCCTCACATCATGTCAATTGGTATTAAATTCAATTTAAGTGATAGAAATAAATTTTCAATAGTGCTAAATTTGGTACAATAAAATTTTGAATTTTTTTCTTTTTTTTGTTATTTAAAAAAATGGGCATTTTGTGTGAATGACTCTTTTGAATTTTCCTATACTGTTATTATGCGGGTCGTTATTGTTCTCGTTACATGAATAACTTTGAATTTAAAAAAAATCAGTTTTTTATTACTAAATCGTTTCTATTATTATGATTATCGGGCTGTGCATAAAATACCTACTATCATCAAAAATATTATTCACTTAATTGATTATATTGAATTTTAACAAAAGAAATAAAAGATTAACGAAAACTCAACTAAAAATATTTGAAATATTGCGATAGACTCTTCTATGGGAACAGAAAATTGAATAAAATGGAAAATTATATTTAAATAAATCCAGATGCGGATTATTATTTTAAGAAGTCACGGAAGTAATTCAAACAAAGGAAGCAGTATTAAGTATTAAAAATTAAAGTTCGATGCAAGATCTGGCCCTGTATTTAATATACGAATACGGCAGATAAAGCGGTAGCAGGCATTAAGCAACTAAGAGAACTAATGACAATAATTTCGAAAAACGTTCTTGAAAGAAAGTATGTGGAGGAAATGTTTACCATACAATGAAGAAGACTTCGTTATGTTACACTTTGGCATGTTCGTATCACAAAGTTTCGGAAATTTCTCTGTGAGTAATACCTGGCGTAATTCTACATGACTGACTTGAGCAGGCAATAACAGGCATAGTACAAGACAATGAAACATACAAGACATTTAAACAATTATTAAAGAAATAAGTAAAAAGACGAGGTTCGTCTCCGATGCTTTTTCCGAGTACAATATCGTAGTAAATTATAGGTTGGTACGCAAGGAGAACACACGGAGATATTTATAAAAAGAATTTAGAAAGAAGGCAAGTTTTATAAAGAAAACTAAATCAGTCTTAAACTAAAATCAGTACTTAAGTAAAGCAAAGAATAATCTTTGGCTGGATTCATTAAAATGTCGAATTTTATTGTGTCTGCAAATGCTTTCACATTTTCTATAAAAATTTTATTTGCCGAACTTGATTCTCTTAAAGAATTAATATTTTGAAAACCCTTCTATTTGTAACTTTTTTACGTTTACATACGAGCCTATGAGTGGTGCGTTCTAATTGGAGTAATTCTGTTTTGAGATTGGAAAATTCATTGAGAGAAGGTTAACATCTTGTGTGATTCTCATAAATAACTCTAAAATCTCATTACTTTATTTATTGTAATAAGTGAAATTTGTCGTTTTTGTGTGATCTCAGAACGCACTTGAAATTAAATTCAATAAGTCTACCACTTCAAACAGAGTATTATAAACCTACATTCAAATTAATAATACTGCGTAATAAGATAGTGAGACAAAAAAAAAGAAAAAACAAAGTAATAATGAAATTTTAATCGAATTTTTCAAGTTCAATGAACAAACAATTGGTGGGTGCAAACACGTGAGAAAAATCTATCTCACATCAAAACCACCCACAACAAAAGCATTCAAAAATTACAAAAAAAAAAAAAAACTAATTTTTTTTTATTCTCTACTCAAATTGCGTTATTGAACTTTTTATCTTTTTCTTTTTCTATCTTTTTTTTTAATGCTGGATCATTTTTTGTGTCCAGAACCCTATAGCAAACCAACTATACTCGCAAACGAAAATTTTTAAGGATTTCTTTTTAATATTTTTTCTTTTCCGTTTTTCTCCTCTATCAATAAAATTGGGTCTATTACACACAAAATAATTGTTTAACA